AGCCCTCTTATCCCTGTCGAACAAATCCGATACTTAGGACTCCACCTTGACAAACGACTCACTTGGAATCCCCATACCAGACTGAAACGACTAGAAACCGCCCGACGTTTTCGACTACTGCAGCACTTACTAGACAAACGATCTAAGCTTTCAATCAATTATAAACGACTCATATATATGACAATAATAAGACCTATTTGGACTTACGGAATTGAGCTTTGGGGCTCCACTAAACCATCGAATTCCTCTCGTATCCAATCCTTACAATCCAAAATACTTCGTAAAATCCTCAATGCTTCTTACTTTATCACCAATAAAATCATCCATAAAGAACTTAATGTTCCATATGTTTCCGATTTGGCCCAATCCAGATACCTGTTCTTCCATAACAAACTGCAGAACCATCCGAATCCTCTCGTTTCAAACCTTGCTTCCTCCTCGATCCCTGATAACCCTCCGAGGCGTCTGAAAAGAAGATGGCCTCGAGATCTTCTAATGTAGAACTTTAATTTGAGTTCTACCAATGGGTAGTTTTAGTTAGTATGGGTTTCTCTTCATGCTGTACATGTCATGTTACCAATTTCACATTTACTTATTGTATTTTCTATGTAATACAGTCGTAAATTCCATTAAAATAAAAAATAAAAAAAGTTATCACTTCCTATTTAACGTTGTTTGTTTAAACTTTTTTGGTTGATCTTGATGTCTACTATCAAAGTTTTAAACATTTTCCTCTACTGATGGGACACCCTGCGTAATCGATTTTACACATTCTTACGATTACGAAACCGCCTTTATCGTTTTTGATACATTTTTATTTTGAAGTTTAATAAAAAGGTTTCCTACCTATGACTTATACTTTGATCATAAATTAAAGTATATACAATTGTAAAAAAGAAACTCGAATTTTGATGGATTTTTTCCTTTAAAATATTCTAAATCATTCAGTGCATTGTATACATTAAAAACGTATTAAAGTATTAATTAAAAACGTATGTAGTTCATTTTAATAATTAATTGAAACTTATTTTTTCGCAAAATATTTATATATTACCATAGAGTGTCCCGCTAGATTGCCCAGGACAATCGTCATTTGTGCGGCGGTAGTTGGCTACAGTCCCGCATAGCAGTGGTGCTTACCCACTTAACACCGCCTAGTTCACCGCGCGGCGCAGAAGCCTCCAACTTACTTGGCCTGCAGACCATCCCTCTAAATCTCGCTGGCGAAAACTTGTGATAACAACAAAAATCGATATATCGATGTTAAAAATATAGAAAGTCGAACCTATATATAAATGTGTAAAGTAGGCGAGACCATATTTTTCAACAAAAAACAAAAGAGGCACCTATCACTTGCGCTATAAAGCATGCATTGCACGTACAACTTTTCAAAATATAAGAAACAAACCAATCCATCAATAATACAACCTCACGATTCCAACAATTTTTAATTCCTTTCCAAAACATACTTGTACTGAGCTTCCAATGCTAAAGGTCCCAGTAATGAGCTTCCAATGCTAAAGGTCCCACGTTCGAATCCCGGCTCATGGCAGAAAAAATATTTATTCTGTTTCATTGGCCGTGGGATGACCCTGGGTAGGTAGAGCCTCTTGGAGCACACCCAACCTCTCTAAAGTGGGTACCCTTAATGAAAATAATTAATTAAGGGAAAAACCTGACGGTTGAGCGTGATCTCGTTCAAATCTTTGCACAACCGTAGACTAAGAAACAGTGCTTTCCCTAAATAGTACTGAACCCAACACCCATCATGGGTTGTAGTGCTACAGTTTTTTGTTTTTTTCCAAAACATACCTAGTTGAGTAAAATGACGATCATCATAAATGAATACATTTTTAAGAAATGCGTCTCATCGGTTGAATCGATGTTACTTCCTGTACATTGAGTTAGAGAAATGAAAACCATATGAATGAATTAGTGTTAAAAAGTATCTATTCAATCTTTTTTCTCTTACCCCGACCGTTTTGATAAGTTTAATTCGGTGGACATTCTATATCCCGTTATGAGAATTCCGAAGGTGTCCGATATATATATATTTCAGTTGGTATTTCATAAAGTCAATAGTGTTTTTATTCTCAATCCTTATTTTTGGAATGATAACGTTTCGGCTCATAGAGCTGTGTTCAAGTCTATCATGTTTTAATTTCCCTCATTTCTTATGTAAAATCATGTGTCATCATATCTATGGTCTCTGGCAATAAAGATGATGCAAATAAGAACGACGATTATGACGAAGTAGCTATTATATGATGACACATGTTTTCACATAAAAAATGAAAATAATTAAGATATGATGGCTTTGAAAATGGCTCAATGAGCCGAAACGTAGTCATTCCAAAATAATAATAATTTTGAGAATAAAAACATTATTGGTGTACTATTGGCTATATGAGATATAAACTGAAATAATATACGATACCAAAATCATATATATGGGAGTGTGGTAGCTCAGTGATAGGGTGCTGAACTTCCAATGCTCAATTTCCCATTTTTGAATCCCGGATTATGGCAGAAAAATTATTTATTCTTTTTCATTGGCCGTGGGGGACTCCGGGGTCGGGAGACCCTCCTTGAGACACACACGCAGTGGGACGAAAGGCGGGTTTTTGTGGACATGGGCCTAAAACTTATAAATGATGACGGATCAACTTGGTTGTTGGTTGTTGTATAGTAAAGGCGTAAAACCTGTTAGTCATCAACGTTGATTAACTTGGTATTTAGTATTTTAATTTGAAAATAAATTAACTTAGAAAATGATAAAGACCTCTTAAAACGCATAAGTTTAGATATCTATTTATAATTACTGCCTATATTACTAAATATAATCGTTATTTTAATATTTTTTTCTTTTTAAAAACAATACAACCAAAATATAGTTTAATATATTTATATTTCATAACTAAAAAAATGTAGTGTAAAAATTTATCGTTTATCAATTATAAACATTCATTTTACAATAGTTCTTATCACTAGCGGATCCAGGATTTAATTTTGGGGAGGGGCTTCAGCCCGAAACTTTTTTTTTTCATAAAAATAACGATAATTACTTAGGAAAAACAGAAAGAAACTAACTACTTATATGAAGTGGTGTTTAAGTTATTCCTTAAGTACTTTTAAATGTAATTACACGAACAATAATACTTTAAGAGGTATTTTTTAAATTTTTTTTCCCCATAAAACATGGTTATATTTTTTCATTTTGAGGGGGGGCTTCAGCCCGAAAGCCTCCCCCCCCCCGTAGATCCACCCGTGGTTCTTATTGAATAATAAACATTTTTTTTTTTTTTCATTATAATAAAATTTTAAGCACCATCGATAATGATACTTCTTCACATTCTCCGATAAAAAAAATACATATATTTTCATTAATTTTAAAGATTATATTAAGAATAACTGGTACAGATCAGATCGTAAAGGTTCAACCAAATACTCTCACATTCAATTTCCGCTTATGAAATTATGATAACATTTAAAAAGAATTGGGGTTAGAGACTGAAAATATCATGTTTTATTACTAACAGATAGTAATAATAGTGGAACATGTAAATAAAAATGATTTTTTCCTTTAGGTCGTCTTATACAGGTACTCATTCAAATTTACCCCACCTTTTATTTAATTTCAAACTTTAGTTCACGTGTTTGTTCATAAAAAAATAATTGTTAACTACCTTTACGTGGATCATGGCGGTTAAAATTAATACGAATTTCTCTTTCACAATGATTCCTAAAATGGGAAAGAAAAATAATGTTCTGAAGATTTTTTCAAACCGCAGTCTTTATAAAAAAATGATTTAAAGACACCTATTTTCGTTAACAAAAAAGGAAAACGATTCGAATTAAAACAAGTTATATACATTGTTATATTTTTTCTTACTAGGCATAATATCAGTAAAAATTTAATAAATTTTCCAATGTCATTGCCATTTCCCCCAAAAAAAAAAAATTAGCCAATGTCGCGAGTTTTCCCTTACTTGCCTCACTGTGACCCAACCTCTATAAACTGGGCACCCTTAATTAAATAATTAATTAACGGGGACAACCTGATGGTTGAGCGTGATCTCGCTAACACAACTGTAGACCAATTCCTTTTCCTAAATAGTACTGAACCCAAGACCCTTCACGATTTGTAGTGCTACAGTTTTTTTTTTGTTTTGTTTTTATGTTTTAATGATATATATATATATATATATATATATATATATATATATATATTGTTATGTTATGGTGGAAAAGACTGTACGTATATATAATGAATAGAAACCATAATAAAATTGTATTGTGTATTTCTTAATATTATGAGAGGAAGCGGGAACGAGCAGGATATGAGCGCAGCTACGACACCATCATAGGAAAACCTTAGAAATGCCTAGAGCAGCGGCATATCGTTTATGAATCATAGAATTAACTAACTCAACTTACTAACAGAATAGAAATAAGTCAAACAATAGAATAGAAGTAAGGTAACTTCGATAATATTCCTGTAGAGTTAAGCATCTCGAATTGGAAACAGTACTAGGTAGAAACATCTGGTGCGGGCAATACACAACTTTCACTTACCGCTGAACTTTGAATAGAAATTATTTTCTGACCACGTTGGGATATTATAAAATTTTTGAATTGCATATTTAACGAAGCTAAAACTAAAAGCTTACAGCCAACAAATAAATATTATTAAAATAACAAAAGTCCTATTTATTATATCACCGGTTGATTATGGGTTGTACGATCCGTTGATTATGGATTGTACGACTATTAGTTATTAAACAGTTATTTTCTATTGCAAAGTTTGCTAAAATAGAATTAAGATATTTACATTGTCTGTCATAGACAGGCCGAAGTTGTGATACTAATTTTAAGTGGATATTGTGGGAATATCACAAAGGAAAAATTCATCAATTTAATTTTACTATCTTAAGCAAATAGCATATAATCAGTTACATTTTTTTAGTTATACAGAAAAACGAAAAAGAAAAATGCTTTACCCTTCTGAGTCAGGCAGTGTGACCTTCTCCTCTGAAATAAATTCTGAAGATCCAAGAACCTTCTTGATTTCTGGAACTAGAACATCCATCCAGCTTTCAGTGGATATATTTTCTTCTCCTTCTTCTCCTCCTTCAAGTTCTAATTATTTATAAAATGTCTATTGATAATAGTACAACAGTACAGGGCAATTATTATTAATTAATAGCAGTGACAAATTTAATAGTTGCTACCTGCATAAACAATTAGGCAGCCTAAATTAATAATTTTTCATGGCATAAATACAAACCTGTAGTTCACAGAGTTGGGCACAAGTTGATAAACATTTATCCGATTAAAACAATTACCAAATTTGTAGTATGTATTGAAAAATAAAAATTTATTCTGGAACCCTAAAATTTTATCAGATAAAAAACTACCAAAGGAACAGAATACATTTTTAGACATCGATTTTAAACTGAAAATTGATTTTAAAAATTAATCGCTTTAACAATAAAGTTTTAGCTGCGAAATAAAAGTAAAAAAAATTAAATAAAGAGTTCAGTCATTTCAGAACTGATTTAAAACCAAAATTAATGTTTCATTTCAAGCCCAGCAAAATGCACATTTAAGCAACCTAATTTTCCAAAATTTTCCGAAGTTTACGCCCTTTTGGCTCTAGTCTCCCTCGAGGGAACTAAATAAGCACTGCTTCAAGACATAGGATTGAGAATAGCATTTTATTTTGATTGCATGTACTCATTATCACCTTCAATATACACCTCCCTTCTATCTCTAATAGGTCTCTTGCGAATCTTTAATTGTTTGAAACAGTACTGGAAGTCGTCTTCTGTTTAACCCGCTTTCTGTTTAACAGCTTCAACAGACTCAATTTTTGTTCCTTTTAATGCAGACTTCACCTCAGAAACAGATGACAGTCGCACGACGCATAATCCGGCGAATAAGGCAGATGGTATAGCACTGGGATGCTTTACTAAGCTAAAAAAACCTGTTGACAGATAATGCGAAATGAACTGGCGCATTGTCTTGGTGAAGAATCCATGACTTGTCTGTGGCAACACTGAGTACCTGTAACCTTCCTTATTTGGTTTATAATATATTATTATCGGAATCAAATAAAATGTGTGTGTTTCAATTGTTAGAAAAACTATTGATCTTCCGCAATATCAACATCAACATTACCATGAAAGAATAAGGAAAACCGACCCAAACTATGAAATGAAAAGTCGTGAATTCTCCTCCAAGGCAGTGCACCGGATCATCCCGCATACTCTGTCATTAGTTCGAGAGCTCTTGAGAGAAAATCGACATTATCTGTTGAAAACTTTAAACTATTTTTTTTAAATATTTAAAAAATTTATACCAAAAAATGAGAGTCCGCCAGATGGATCTCGCTACCTGTAAAAATGGTGGATGATTTGAAAAATATTAGACCAGTAATTTGAGGATATTGCCCTGAGCGACTTTCTGTTCCCTAAGATGAAATCTGCATTAAAAGAACAAAATTTAAGCTGGGAAACGGAAAATGGCTCGGTTCCTTGTCCTTTCTGCGATTTCCAGCACTGTTTCAGACTTAGGAAGATTCGTATCGATCCTTACAGAGATAGGTGAGAGGTGTATTTTATAGTGATAATAAGTCAATATTTATGAAATCAAAATAAAATGTTTTAAAAAACAGTTTCGTTATGTAATGCCGTCTCATATAGATCCAAAATGACACGTTGACACTGATTATCTGCTTGTATAAACTACATGTATAAAAACGCAGTATGTACTAATACCATATTATTAAATTATACCATTTGATATTACAGTAATATATATTTTGAGAATATAATTGTGCCTTCCAGTTTGTTTTTTATAAATACATTAGCCCTTATTTTTAAGTTATAGTTCATCGAGAATATCAAATTATTTTTTGCATACCGAATCAAATGTAAAGAATGCCGAACAGCTACTAGATAGATGATGATATCAATCTAAAATATAAGTATTATACCTGCAATAGAAGAAGAAGAAGAAGAAGAAATAATGCTTGTTTCAACCTGCGTACCACCGACAAAGGCCGCTGTGGTTTCTCCAATTTCATATGTTTCTTCTAAAAAAAAAAAATTAAGGTTTTTTTTTTTTTTTTTTTTTTTGTTTTATTGAGTATTATAACAATCTGTCTGTTGGACATTGGTTATAGTGAGGTAGGATGACATTCACACCATATGTACAAAAAAAATAAAATAAATAGAACAAAATAATAATCAAAAGTATATACAATAGACAATAAAATAAAATAACCTAAAAAATAAGAAAATTAAAACTAAGGAAAAAAAAAAACACATGCATACCTATATACAATCAGGCGAGGGAACTCCAGGAGAACCCTGCGCTACTCTCCCAACTGCGTCACTGGTACTAAAGCCAGCGGAGAGTTATTGTATATTTTATTCATAAAGGCTATTTGGTAAAAAAACAAAAAGAATGGGATTGCTGGCGTCGTCCCAATGGCGTCGACTTAAAGAATATAAAAAGATACATTACAATTAATTTTAGCCTTCTAATAAAGCAATTGAATCACAGACACATTGAATGAAATACAATTTGGATAAAGTAATACATAACAGACTAAAATATTGTTATTACCTTTTTTGGAAAGAATGTGAGGAAGGGAGGTAATTGTGAACTAATATCTAAAAATGGTAGGCTATACTAGTGGTTGTTAAGCACAGAAGGAAATCAAAACATGGCGAACAAGCAAATTTCATACATTTTTGTCCAAAATATCATTTGACCAGCTTTTCCGTCAAGAACTACTACTTTGCTACCCGTATCGACAGTTCGATTTAAGTGGGATTTTAAAACAAACATATTTGATTTTTATTTCGCAATAGGTAAAAAACGTACTATATAATTTGAAATATTGCGTATATCAAACTAAATTTTAAAAAATTGTGTTATTACACCATGAAAAGACATTCATTTACATTGCCAATTAGCTAATATTATTTCCATTGGCTAAATTAAAATAAAATTTCTAATAAAATATAAACATGTAAATTACTAAGTTATTTATTTAAATAATTAAGAACAACATTACTTTTAAAAACTACTATTGTTTTCCAGATTATGTGAAATTCTTTCGTGTTTCAATTTAAGATGAAAATATAAGTTTCAAAATAAAAATTACTTATTTCATTAGGAAACAAATCTTGCTCAGTTCAGGATAAAAATACAAAGGATGTTATGATTTATTTCAACGTATCCTATGGAATTTCATCAGTTCCTGGAGATTTACCACATTTACTTTTGGAAATGCATAATTGTAACTCTTCCAATGTTACATCAGGTTCTAAGCATGAATGATTAAAGAAATTGTTATTATAACATGCCTAGGAAGGGTTATTTGGAATTCAATTTTTTGACAGCAGTTCAGAATTGTATTTCTTTGTTATTTTTCTTTGCAATAAGAAAAATCATTCTTTGTTCCGAACGTATTCCCTTTGTCAAGTGAAGACAATCTAATGTACAATATAATGTAATATAATATATAATATAATATAATGTAATGTACAATATAATGTACAAGATTATAAACATTGGAATGGAACCTCGCTGACAAGGTGGTCGAGGGTGTTCCTTTTGTAGTAGAAACAAAAACTTCAGATTATGCTATTGCTGGATGTTATCTTTCTTCCATTTTCGGAAACAATCAAGTGAACAGGGCATCTTGGCAATCGAGAAGGAAACCAACACCATATTAGATCTCATGAGTAGGTCTTTTTCTTTTAACTCGAATCAGAAGTCAGTAAAATTTATATTCAGAAATAAACATAAGGAGTAAAAGGAGAATATTACGTACACTATCGTCTACTGTCACGGAATTGTTCCATTGATTCGAATTCTGTTTCATTCTTACACAAGAAGGATATCTCATTTCGTCCGCTGTGAGAATCTTCTGAATTTCTCGCTAATTTAAGTAAAATTATGTAATTCTGTAATATGTATCTGTACTACTATCAAACCAACTTTATATAAAAAAAAAACTACGAGACCTTATTAAATGCAACGAGTTCATTCGAGCGGCTTGTCGTTGATTAAAAGGTTCTCTTCTTTCAATCCACAGATATTTACTTAAAATTGTTGCGAAATAAAAAAGCACCTCTATGAATATATTATAGGACTATAACTTTTAAATAGATACTGAAATATTTTTTAGTAGTTGCTTTAAACTTCAAAAATTCACATTTACAAAAGTAACTAGCATTATACCCCGTATCTATTTTTTCGCCAACTTTTTATCTCTGTTGAAATTTTAATCACCGTTTTTGGAATAATGAGGGGAATATAATAAGGTAATAGAGCAGAACGGTTCATATATAACACAGTAAATCAACCTTAAAAAATCTAGTGCGCGCAACACACAACTTTCACTAACCGCTCTACTTTGAATGGAAATTATTTTCTGGCAATGCTGGGCTATTATAAAATTTTTTGAAGTGCATTTTAAACGGAGCTAAAGCTTAAAGCTTACAGATAACAAGTCATTAAGACCATTATAATTACAAAATGTCTATTTAATATATCGACGGTAGGCAATAAAAATCTAGTCACTCCATCTGGTTTTATAAACCACAGAATGACTAACTCCAATTTCAAAATTTTTGAGTAATGTCATTTTAGTTGAATAGTTGAAAAAGTTATCTATGCAGACAGTGAGTAAGTTGATTCCGAAGGTGATGATTGTAGTGTTGAAATGTAGAACTGAGAATAAAGGTATAAATTAAGGTACTTATTTCTTATGAAAGATGTTCTTAGGAAAGATACTTCATTAAATATCTGTAGAGAAAAGGTTTTTTTAGTCTCAAGAATTAAAAAAGTATATTTTAAATTTATCCGAATTTTCGCCTCTTCAGGGAAAAAACTAGAGACCATATCTTTCCTCCTGATTGTCCAATTTTAACGATTTTTTGTTTTGTTTTTTTAAGAAATTCGATAAACTTTTAAAACCCATTACAATATCGACAAAAAAAATGTATACTTTTTGAGTTATTTAGAATTTAATTGTACCATCCCTCGTAACTTTTTTTCCAGCTTCTTTTCGTTGAAATATGTTATATAGATAAATTTAAAGGATGTCGAGAAAATGACTTTAGCGAAGTTTCATTGAAATCGGTACATTCGCGCTACAGTCTATAGCAACGCAGGTTTTTCTGCATTTTTTTTTCTTCTTTATTAACTTATCAAATTCTTTTAAAACTTATATGTAGCATTTTTTCGTAACCCTGAATAATGCGAAATGATTAACTTTTTAAAATAAACCATATTAAAGGTACTTTAGAGAAAGACATATATGAACATTGGGCATTTAAGCCCTGTAAGGTGACATCAACGGGGATAAGACCTAAATGATATTAAAGACCACTTAATTATACAATGATACACCGAGTTTAATCAAAATCGTTAGAGCCGTTTTTGAGAAAATTGTAAAAATGTGTTTCAGCGTTCATATAAAGTGGCACTTCCGATTAGCCGATTTTAACACAAAAGTTGCTGTCACATCCGGCCCATATACAAACCTTAAATACATAATATCAGTTTCGTACTACTTTTCGTTTATGAGCTAGACTGTTAACATTCCAAAATTCCTTTATTGCTCGCTCTGTCAATTTCTGGAATTCCCTCCCTATCAAAATTCGACATTCCCCCTCGATATCCAAATTCAAATCCCTCCTATTCCAATTCCTATCACAAAAACAGTCAGATACTTGCTAACCATTCGAGCGGATTTTAATAGAGAATTTGATACATTTTTATTTTTTAATTCTTTATTTTTTTCGGAAAAATATATACTGGTCTATAAGAGCAAATAGCTTTAAGTGTTTTGTCATAGTATCAATGGTTTTGTATATAGTTTAGTTTGTTTTGTATATAGAATTTTTACCTTATATTTTTTTTACATTATTTCTTTTTTTCGATTGATTTTATTTTGGCCAGATGTAATATTTTAATTTTGTTCTATTTCGTTATTCTCAAGGGACTGTGTCCCAGAATAAAGTTATTTTTCTATCTTTCTATCTATCTTCTATCTTAACGCACACACACACACACACACGGAGATCATTTTGCGAATCTTGCTTATTTGGACTCAGGGGACCTTAAAACATGTCTCCATGGAAATTCAGATTCAAAGATGTTCACGATCGCAATACTTACCCTTACTATATATTACAAATATATGTAAGTGAAATTTAAAAAATCGGTCCAGTAGTTTTGGAGAATATGCGCGGACGGCGGACGGCCAAAAAAACTTTTATTCGTTTTTCGAATTCCATGCATCCTGAAACGTGAAACCTCAAATTTTGAGAGAGGGTTAAGTTTTTTTAGTCGATCACAATGGTTGATTATTGAAAATAATAAACCAAAAATATTTAAAAATCGCGATATCTCTACTGATAGAGCTTTGATTTTGATGAAACTTCCTTTATTTTTTAGTAAATTTAAATACCTTTGAAAAATCTTATCAGAACATCTACAAAAAAGTGTAAACTTTTTGAGTTATTCGGAATTTAATTTTACCATCCCTCGTAACTTTTTTCCCAGCTTCTTTTAGTTGAAGCATGTTATATAGATAAATTTAAACGGCGTAGAGGAAATGACTTTAGCGAAGTTTCATTGAAATCCCTACATTCGTTTAGGCGCTACAGTCTATAGCAACGCAGGTTTTTCGGCCGCCATTTTAAAAGTAAAAGGAGGATTATCCTCGGGTGACCTCTGATTTTATATCCAAATTAGAAAGAAATCTGTCCAGTAGTTGGGGAGAAAATGCGCGGACGGCGGACGGACTAAACAATTTTTATTCGTTTTTCGAATTCTACGCATCCTGGAACGTGAAACCTCAAATTTTGAGAGGGGGTTAAGTTTTTGAATTTTTCCGTCAATCACAATGGTTGATTATTGAAAATAATAAATCAAAAAGCAAGAAACTTATTGGACATCTTAATATATATGATAGGACAAACCAATTGAATAGAACAACAGGAAGTTTAACAAACTGTGTTGGAGAAAATGCGCGGACGGCGGACGGCCAAAAAAACTTTTATTCGATTT